ACATCTCCAGAATGACTCTGATCACTAATGAGATGAAGGCGTGTGGAGAAACTCTTTTTGAAGAAGCAATCATGGAGAAAGTATTGAGATCCCTTACCTCTCAATTTGATTACAGTGTGGTAGCAATAGAACATTCCAAAGATCTGAGCACCATGAGAATTGAAGAGCTGCAGAGCAGTCTAGAAGCGCAAGAGTTGCGTTTGACTGAGAGAACTTCTGAAAAGGAAGTAGAGCAGCAGACTCTGAAAGTAACTTCTGATAAGAGGTATCAGAAGCAGTTAGAAGCCAGGAGAAGATCTGATGGTGGTCAGAAGTCAGAAAGTTCAACCTCTGATAGACAAAAGAATGCTCAGAAGGGAAAAGAGAAGTATGACAAGAAGATAATCCAATGTTACTGTTGTAAGAAGTTTGGTCACTTTGCTAGAGATTGTTGGTCAAACAAGGAGAGAAAATCAGAAGAAGCAAATATAGCCAGAAGTTCTGATGACGAATCTGTGCTACTGATGGCCTCTGAATCTGATGATATGGATCTGATAGACTGGTGGTATATGGACACTGGCTGTTCAAATCATCTTACTGGAAACAAGAAATGGCTGGTTGACTTTGACTCTGAAAAGAGAACAAAGATCAGATGTGCTGATGACCAATATCTTAACGCAAAAGGTATGGGAAATGTCAGAGTGATTCTGAAAATGGGAAAACATCGTTGATTATGAACTTGTGGTATGTACCTGGCATCAGAAGCAATCTGATGAGTGTGGGACAATTAATTGAGAAAGGTTTTTCATTTACCATGAAGGACAATCTTCTGAAGCTGTATGACTGCAATCAGAAGTTGATTATGGAGTCAGAACAGGGAAGGAATAGAACATTCAAGGTGAACGTCAGAACTGCAGACTCAGAATGTCTTAGTGCAACAAGTGCTGGGAAGGAGAGTGAGCTGTGGCACAGAAGATTCGATCATTTGAATTTCAGAAGCTTAAAACATCTGAATTCAAAGAAGTTGGTACATGGAATTCCTACAATTAAGAAGCATGAAAAGTCATGCAAAGTTTGCATGGAAGGAAAACAACCACGATTGCCATTTGCGTCAGAAGCTGCTCCAAGAGCAAAACATGCCTTGGGAGTTGTACATTCTGATGTGTGTGGTCCATTTCCAGTAACATCGATTGGAGGGAATAAATACTTTGTGTTGTTTGTTGATGAATTCACAAGAATGGCATGGGTATCCCTTATTAAGTTTAAACACGAGGTGTTTGATGAATTCAAGAAGTTCAGAATGAAGGCTGAGAATCAGAGTGGTCAGAAGTTGAAGATTCTTAGAACTGACGGTGGAGGTGAGTATAACTCCAAAGAGTTCCAGAAGTTCTGTGAGGAGAATGGAATTGAGCATGAGGTTACTGCTACTTATACCCCTTAACACAATGGTCTTGCTGAAAGAAGAAACCGCACTTTGCTTGATATGGTGAGAATCATGCTAAAGGAGAAGAAGCTTCCTCAGAAGCTCTGGGGAGAAGCTGTTGCCACTGCAACGTATGTATTCAACTGATGTCCTACGAAGAAGTTGAAGGAAATAGTTCCAATACAGAAGTGGACTAGAGATAAGCAAAGTGTTAGTCATCTGAAGGTGTTTGGTTCTGTTTGCTATAAACATGTTCCAGAAGCCAGAAGACAGAAGCTGGATGATAGAAGCAAAGTAATGATTCTGATAGGGTACCGCAGTACAGGTGCATACAAGCTCTATTGTTCAGAAACCAATAAAATTGAATTCAGCAGAGATGTGATTGTGAAGGAATCAGAAGTTTGGAATTGGGATAAGTCTCAATCTGATTCTGATGTTAGAACTTCTGAAGAAAGGTTAGAGTTAAGAATTTCTGAAGTTGGAGTAAACTCTGACGTTGACTCTGACTTTGATAGTGATTCAGACTCTGGAGAAGACTCAGAAGATGAAGGTGACTCTGATGATCCAGACTCTGATGGCAATCCAGATTCTGGTGGCAATTCAGACTCTGGAAATATGCCAGACTCTGAAGATGGTCAAAGCTCTGGAGGAAGTCAATCATCTGAAGCTAGAAACTCTGAAGCTCAAGACTCTGAACAAGTTCAGAGACCACAAAGAATAAGAAACGTCCCCAGAAGATATGCAGAATTTGACATGCTGCAAGACACTGAAGTAGACTTTGAAGGAGAAGTTATTCAGTGTGCCATGATAGTAGACTCTGAACCCATAAGTACAGAAGAGGCTCTTAAGCAGAAGCTCTGGCTGAAGGCCATGAAAGAAGAACTTGATGCTATAGAGAGAAACAAGACTTGGAAGCTGACAGAACTTCCAAAAGACAAGAAAGCCATCAACGTCAGATGGGTTTTCAAGCAGAAGTTAAAGCCAGATGGTTCAATTGGCAAACATAAAGCAAGGTTGGTAGCCAGAGGATTTCTACAGAAACCTGGGGTAGATTATTCTGAAGTGTTTGCACCTGTAGCAAGACATGAAACAATCAGAATGGTGATTGCAATAGCTGCTAACAGGAATTGGCATCTGATGCATTTAGATGTAAAATCTGCATTTCTGAATGATCCATTAGAAGAAGAAGTTTACGTGTCACAACCTCCTGGATTTGTGAAAAAAAAATCAGGAAGGGATGGTGTACAGATTATACAAAGCTCTATATGGATTGAAACAAGCGCCCAAAGCTTGGAATCAAAAGATTGATTCATTTTTCAAGAAGCAAGACTTTCAGAAATGTGAAATGGAGTACGGTGTTTATGTTCAACATACTTCTGAAGGCAATATGACTCTGGTGTGTTTATATGTTGATGACGTACTGCTGACTGGAAATTCTGAACAGGAGATAGCCAAGTTCAAGAAAGTTCTGATGAATGAATTCGAAATGACTGATCTAGGAAAAATGACATACTTTCTAGGAATGGAGTTCAGATATTCTGAGAAAGGTATCATTTTGCATCAGCTCAAGTATGAATTATAACTTCTGAAGAAATTTGAACTGAAGAATTGTAAGATTGCTGTCACACCTTCTGATACGAATTAGAAGCTGGATTCTAACTCTGATGGAAAGGATGTGGACGCTAAAACCTTCAAACAGTTGGTTGGTTCTCTGAGGTATCTGTGCAATACCAGACCTGACATTTGCTATTCTATTGGGATGGTTAGTAGGTTCATGAGTAAACCTAAGTGGTCCCATTACCAAGCTGTTGTCAGGATTCTGAGGTATATCAAGGGAACTCTAAAGTATGGAGTGTTATTTCCTTATAAAAGAAAGAATGAGTAAGAACTTTTGAGTTATTCAGATTCTGATTGGTGTGGAGACAGAGTTGACAGAAGAAGTACCTCTAGGTACTTGTTCAAATTTCTGGGAGGTCCCATTTCTTGGTGTTCCAAGAAGCAACCTGTTGTGGCGTTATCAACCTGTGAAGCTGAATACATTGCAGGTGCTGTTACTGCATGCCAAGCTGTGTGGATTCTGAATCTGTTGCAGGATCTGAAGATTAAAATAAACAAACCTCTGAAGCTGATGATTGACAACAAGTCTGCAATCAATCTTGCCAGAAACCTAGTGTTGCATGGGAGAAGCAAGCATATTGAGACCAAGTATCATTTTCTGAGACATCAAGTTCAGAGTGAAGTGTTAGAAGTTGTACACTGCAGCACTCAAAACCAGTTGGCAGATGCTCTGACGAAAGCTATCAAGACTGATCAATTTCTCAGACTAAGGGATGGAATTGGTGTTACAAGTTTTGATGGAATATGAATTAAGGGATGGTATTAGAAGTAATTCATATTTAGTTGTACTATTACTTAGCCCCTAAGTTTGTTAGAGGGTATTTTAGTATTTTATCTTATTCTAGTAACCCTAGTTTTAGCTTATAAATAGGGTTGCAATCATTGTAATGTAAAAAGTGAGTTGTGTAACCGTCATTCTCTTTAATAAAATATTTCTTCTGTTCATCATTTATTCACCTTTGCATCAACAGTAAAGACCTACCTCTAAGTAATGTAAAAATGTAATTATATAAGATGTTTTTTTTTTTATTATAGCAGCAGATAGTAGTAGATAAGCTCATAACCAAATGCAACTAACTTTTAAATTAGGTTTCCAAAATAGAAAAGTTTATTATATTTTGATTACAAATGTGAAGGCATTCAACTAATCATTCTTTAAGTCTTCTAAATGAGATTAAATAAATAAAAATTGACTTAATATAATGTCAAAGTTTATTTTAGTCATTTAACTTAAAAAAAAATTCATATTAATTTTTTAATCTTTTAAAATGTATTATATTATACTTTTGTGTAATTAGTAATAAATTTTTTAAAAATTAATCGCTGAATTTATTTTTAATTAAATGAAAATGACTAATATAATACATTCAAGAATTTAATAATTAATATGAATTTTTTTAAAGTTATATGACCAAAATAAACTTTAAAGTTGCAAAATAAAAAACATTATTCAAAAAAAATTTACACACCATGTAGTATGTGAATTTCTCAACTAGTCTTTTGAACAAACAAAAATCTGTAACAATAAACAACAATAATATTTAACAAATTAATTGATCTAATTTCCTTTTAATTTTAAATTAAGTATATCAACTTTTGAGATTATATTTTATTTTAGATGGAGTGTAGTTGGTATTACATCTATCCCTTTGCATTTAAGAGCCATCTAGAAAAGGCGAAACGTTCCTGCCAGCTTTCCACACACCACACATGGTCCCCATTTCGATTTCTTATCATACGTCCGATTTCAAATCAAATCCAACGCTCCTAACTCATCCACGATCTCAGACATAAACCATTGATTCAGCAGATTCCACATGGTTTACATTGTTCCACGATCACCCATTCTAAACCGTCAGATGCTAAAAGATCCAACGGCCATAACCCTGCATAGAACCTCAACTTGGCAGCGGGAACAACAACTTGAAGAAAGAAAAAAAATGAGAAGAGTTTGATTGAGCTGGCTGAGATTTGGAACAAGATGGAAGGATTAACAACTGGGTCGAATGAAAGGAACGAACTTGTTCGAGTTAGTCATGCTTCTGATTCTGGGGTTGGTGTTTCTCATTAAAAAAAAAAACATATTTTTAATACTTCAGTTCATAGTATGTTCAATGATTGCTTGTTTTTCTTTTCTGGGTCATGGATTTTTGTTAGAAAAATTGAATTTTTATGCTTGCAATGAAAATGGGTGATGGAGTTTTCAAGTTTTAGTCCTTTTGTAGATTATTCAGTATTCAAGAGTAGCTTTTTTTGTTTGTAGGGTCTATCTATGATTTAGTTGGCTGTTGATCTGTTTGATTGTTGATGCATACACTGATGTTTTCCTATTGATTGTTTGAACTTATGTATCATGGGAATTTTATGCTTTTTGTAGTTTAAATTTGTGATTTGCGATTAATATGTGGATTTAAATCTTTAAGTAGAAGGTTTACAGGTGAATCAGTTTTGAGACAAAAAAATCATCTGATCCGAAGATTATAATATCACGTTGTTGGGTGGAAGCCTTTGTTTAGGCCATTGACTTAGAACTTTGATTTAGTTTGCAGTTATAACATTAGTTTATTCTCTGACCCTTGTGCATTTAAGTGCTAATTTTGGAAGAGATCTTGGTTATGGTTATGTCGATATCTAATTTCGTTGTCATTCTAATTATATGGTTGTTGCTTGCCATTTTTGTTTAGGTTGTGAGAAATCGATGTGAATAGGCTTAAATTGTGTTTGTGTAGTTGTGATATTAATGTGTATTGTATTTCCTATGTTCTGCAGTCTAAACCTGTGAAGAATTTGAACGGTCAATTTTGTCAAATATGTGGCGATACTGTTGGATTAGCAGCCACAGGCGATGTCTTTGTTGCTTGCCACGAGTGTGCCTTCCCACTATGTCATCCTTGTTACGAATACGAAATAAAAAATGTGAGCCAATTATGTCCACAATGCAAGACTAGATACAAAACTCACAAAGGTTAGCTTGTGCTCACATGGTTTTTTAGTTTTCGTCTGTTCTTCATCAGAATTTGCCATGAACAAGATGAATATGGATTTCAGACGGTCCTCGAGTGAAGGGAGACGACGATGAAGATGATGTCAGTGGTAGACGGAATGAAGGGAAGTATGGTCCAGGAAATAATTCCAAGACGGGATGGCAATGGGATGAAGATGCTGACCTCTCTTCATCTTCTGGACATGATTCTCAATTACAAAATCCCCATCTCACTAATGGACAGCTGGTAATTTTTTATTATTTTGTTATTAATTCGTGTTAATTAGTATTATATGTGAAATATGGAATGTATTTCATGAAATAATATTTGGTGCTTCAGTTTGCAATAATATAACTGATTTTCTCTTTTTATTGTCAGATGTCTGGTGAGATTGCGTGTGCAACATCCGATACTCAATCTGCACAAACCACATCAGGTCCTTTGGGTCAATCTGGAATCGTTCACTCACGTCCCTATGTTGATCAAAAGCAACCAGGTATTGAGTTAGCTTGAAATAATTGTATTGTATCATATCATATTATTACGATTGTCGGTGTGTCACTCTCGTGTCAGATGTCCTTGTCTGAGTCACCGCTTCATAGATACTTACATAAATAAAATAGAAATCTTGACTGGCCTAGATAATTTCCCGGGTTTGAACTGTTAACGACTTTGGCATAATCCAGGTCTCGAGAGTGATGAGGAGATCAGACGAGTGCCAGATATGGGAGGTGAATCTGCCGGAACTTCAGCCTCTCGGAAAGGCACTGGTTCAACTGCTGGTCCCGAACGTGCTCAAGGGACTGGAGAGGGTCAGAAAAAGAGAGGGAGAAGCCCAGCTGACAAAGAAAGCAAACGACTGAAGAGGTATGTATGTAAACTTTGATCACGAAAACCTTAAACTCTAACTGTTTTCCTTTGATTGATCATTGCATTTTTTGTGATAGGCTGCTGAGGAACAGAGTTTCTGCTCAGCAAGCAAGGGAGAGGAAAAAGGCGTACTTAAGTGATTTGGAAACAAGAGTCAATGACTTGGAGAAGAAGAATTCAGAGCTTAAAGAAAAACTTTCAACTTTGCAAAATGAGAATCAAATGCTAAGACAAGTATGTTAATTTTGCATATTCATTTACATCACCATGCCATCCTCTCGTCTTCTTTGTACTATACATGTTTTCTCAAGCATCACCATGATGATGTTTTTGCAGATATTGAAGAACACGACAGCAAGCAGGAGAGGAGGCAATAGTGGTACCAACAATGCTGAATGAAATCAATGACAGTCAGAATTTAGAGAGTAGATTAAAAAGAAAGTGAATAAAAGAAAAAGGTATCTTTAAACGTTAGTTTTGATGATTCTTTCTAGGTGTGCATTTGGAATATCACGAAGGATGAAGGCAACACATGCTTTATCCGAAAATAGTGTGTTTTGATATGTGAAGCACTGGGCGCCAACAAGATATATGATGAGTCCGTGCTACATAGCTTTCGATGTACACTTTCTCCATTAAAATTTAGGAATTGGTTTTTGGAATAATATGTAAGTAAACCATTTGATGAGAAGATTAAAGAGTAGTTGATGAAGCATTTGTGTTATTTTACAAATTTTTACTAAGTCGACTATATAGAAAGTGGTTCAGTTGTTTGATAATTGATTATTTACATATAAATTAATTTGAGTTCCTATTTTCATCGGTGTACAAATATCATCAATAACTTTGGTAGAGTTAGTTTCATCAACCACTTGGCCTTGATGTACCTTTCAAAAGAATTCAAAATATTATTTAACATTTGAAACCAACATCTAACCGCATTTTATGAAGAAAAGAAGTAAAACTGCCATATATGACATGATTGCTATTTCTCATAATAGCACATTTTTTAATTACTTCATATAGTATAACATCTGCAGTGGAATTGGAAATGTATGTAATTCATATTTCGTGTGTTTACAAGAATACAATTTTGGGATTTAAGAATATAATTTTGGAATTTATACACATCAGTATTAGCTTATTTAGGTAGGTAAATCTCCTATAAGTAATGCTATGAGTAGTTGCAAGAGCAACATCCATTTGAGGAGTTTTGTCTAGGTTCAAACGTGATTTCTTGAATAGCAGTGTCCAATGATGGAAGCGGATTTTGATGCAGCAGCGAGGCTCATAAGACTTCATATTCGGGCTGAAGAGCCATAAGGACTTGAATGATCCAGTTGTTTGATAGCGGTTTTTCAAGAATTCCCAAATTTCTTTTGCAGAATCGTAGTTATTATGATCTGGTGATTTTTACTATCCCAATCTTCAAGGCGGTCCGCAAATTTTGTAGCAGATTCATCTTTGTCTTGAGTTGGCTTGACGACATCGCCGGTCACTATGCACCAAAGCTTGTGTCCGATCAGAAAACTCTTCATTCCTTGGACCCAGGTCAAGGTGATTGTAATGGGTTTAACAATATCAGCTTTCTCCATGATGCAGAGATGAACAGAATGTTGCAGAAAAGAGAGAAAAAAAATGCAGAAAGTTGAATTGGAAAAATATGTATTCCATATTTCGTGTGTTTACAAGAATACAATTTTGGATTTATACAGATCAGTATTAGCTTATTTAGGTAGGTAAATCTCTTATAATTAATGCTATAATAAATCTATAATAAAACTGTAATCTCCTCTAATTACTCTATATCAAATAATATTCCTATAATTTCTATTAACATTAAGCTAGACTTTATGCTAGCGGGTAGCACATGAGTTAATTGATTGTGGAAAATCATACACGTGAGTGAATCCTCAATTTAGAGAGTGGATAGACGATCTCGGGGATCATTGGTGAATAAATGGGAGTTGGTTAACGTAATCGATTCTGAGACACGTGATAATACCTATCAAGCGTGGATACACTCCATATAGTTCCTAGCATGCTAACATCTCATTGGTTCTAAATACGCGCTTAATGGTCGTATAAGTTTGCACGACTGACATTTGGAGTGAGAGATTTTGTGCATCTTCCTATATTGCCGAGGTAGGCACCTCGAAAATGTTTGCTTTCAAGTCTAAATTTTCTTAGTAAATGATCCAGGATATATTTGAATTTACCACTTTCGCAACTATAGATAATAGGGTTAGAATGGCCACAAAGGAAGCCTAACACATTCAAGTATTAGAAATACAGGGAGCTCTCTAAAAGATCTGTAAAATCAAGGCATAGAAGTGCAAATAAATCTTAATAATGCCATCAACATTACAAGTCCATATTGGTCAGAAAAGTCATAAATACAAAAATTCACGAAGATAGATAGAAACACAACTTAATTTCATAGATTGTCAAAAATTAATAGCATGAAGATGAAAATAACGATGATTATAGAAGGGAGATAATTCATATTAAATCTAATCACACTGAACAAAACATTCTCACATACTTTGATCATATTATCAAATCCTCATTCTTTTAGGAGTAAAGAAAAGATTTTTTTTAATCTCCAGTCATATGTTTTGACCAATTGATATTAAAATATCACTTAGCATTCCATTACAAATTTAGATCTTAACTTTAGGTATTAAATTGTTTTGGATCTTTGTTAGTGTGAACTTAATCACAGAAATATGATGAAGCATATATGTTTCTATTTTACGTTCATGGTATTTTCAGCAACAAATATCATATCTTCGTCAGAATCTGAATTTTTTTTCTTCCTCGACTTTGAGAGCTAGGATTTTTTTGTTGTTGTCACTTTCGTCATCTTCAACTAGCCTCTTCACCTCCATCTTGTGCTCTTGCAACTTTTCGAATAAATTAGTCAAATTTATGGAAGACAAGTCTTTATTTATATTCAGAAATTCCAGTGGCATTGGTTGTCAATTACGATTTAGGCATCTAAGAAATTTTATAACTAAATCTTCATTTTGAAATATTTTACTCAGAGCTTTCATATGATTCACAGTGAGTATGAATTCTTTTTCCATATCCCGACTATTTTCTTTAGGTTTCATTCTGAAGAGATGTACTGATGGGTCAAAGTGTTCATCCTAACCCTTTCTATTTCAGTTGTACCTTCATATGTAGTTAGAAGGGTATCCCACATTTTTTATGCAATCTCGCAGTGAGAAACACATAAAAAATCATCAATGCCAAGAGCGGTAGAGATAATAGTGTTAGCTTTCGAACTACGACACACTTTTTCCTTTTCTTCTTTGATCCAAATTTCTCTATCTTTGTTTTCCACAACATTATTAACTTGATGTAGGTAGAAACAGAGAAATAATAACAAAAAGATAGAAAGAGTATGAAGAAGAAAGATTCACAACAAAAAAGGAAATAATTTATGGGCCAAATAAATGAGTTAATCGATTAAAATGACGTTTTTATTGATTAAAACATCCTTAAAACAGAAACCTTAATCGATTAGGTTGTGAGTTATTAGAAAAGGTGTTTCTAATAGATTAACAGATTTTCTAATAGATTATAAGGTGATTCTCTTAATCGATTAGGTTGTGAGTTATTAGAAACATTTTTTAATCAATCTCATGCTGGTCTGGATTGTTTTGAAGAAGTTTAATAATAAAAAAAGGTGTGTGAGTGTGCATGCGCGCGTACGTGCGTGTGTGAACTCCTTCTCACTTATAAAGAGAGTATATTATACTCCCTGTGAGAGTATACCTCTTTCCCTTTGTCATTATCATAAAGCGGGAACGAACAAGAAGAAAAAGGATGAACAAATAGTCATATAAGCAGCACATAGACCACATATGTCATTTTTGAGAAAATAGATGAAAAAAAAAACAACATTAATTGAAAATAGGGGTTACAAAATGAAAATGGAGAATTGAAAACAAAGCAAGCAAACGAGTAAAACAATATACAAACAAATACAATCAAGATAAATACTCGTTGTTGTCATCATTATCATCACCAAACAGCCCGAGAAGAACTGACACTCTGGTTTTAGCCAGGTATTTACAACGAAGTCTACTTGGGATGAAATCCTTTAAAGCATCATGTTGTTATATTTAGTGCTTGAAAAGATGGAGTTAAGCATGGCTTTTATTGGAGGAGGATGAGTTATCTCTAAGTCAAAGTCTTTCAAGCTTGAAGGACCTAATTGCATAAAGTCTTGTTGTTGGGAAACTAGTTGTTGTTATTAGAGTTGTTTGCCCAGTTTTAGAAAGGGAATTATGCTCTAAGATCCCATCATTGTCTCTGATTTCAATTAGCTTTAAATAGTTTTTTCCGATAATGTGCATCTATCAACAAACTCTTTCCATTCTAAGCTAACTATGGTGTGGAATAGAACTTTAGTGATAAAATCACCATATGGTAACCACGAGTACCTCCTTATTCTCCAATCCAACATATGTTAAATTACCTCGGTGGCACAATTGGTTTCAATTTTGTGGTCTATTAACCAAAAAATCATAACAGCGGTCCTCACCTGTTGCCCAACATTGGTTTTCCATAAAATTAATACATGGATAGCCACATAGGGAATGTGACAGATGTTTGGAGTCATATACACCCATGGTGAGAGCCTGGGAGGGTAATTATGACCTACCTCTAGATTAGAAAAAAGAGTTTGAATAGAAGAGATAAAGTCAAAATTTTCCATAACACTTAGAGCACCATAAGTGTAGAACAAGCAACAATAAGGTAAATCACAAATATCCCTTTTATATATATATATATATATATATATATATATATATATATATATATATATATATATATATATATATATATATATATATATATATATATATATATATATATATATATATATATATATATATATATATATATATATATATATATATATATATATATATATATATATATATATATATATATATATATATATATATATATATATATATATATATATATATATATATATATATATATATATATATATATATATATATATAGAGAGAGAGAGAGAGAGAGAGAGAGAGAGAGAGAGAGAGAGAGATTTTACGTACCTCATATGTGATTTTCCCTTCACAAAAGTTAATATTGGCATAGAACATATTTGCAGGTATTGGAAGCTTTTAAGATTTGCTTGATTTAAGGAAACAGAGAACTCAAATCTTCCAAAGTAGCTTTCATCAACATAGTATGGTCGGAGAAGAGGATGGTTGATAAAGTGATTATTCGATAAAGTGATTATTAAAATACTTTTTTGAATTTTGGATGAGAAGTTTTCTTACTCATAAACTTGATATGAATAGCTTGTAGAGGTGCAGATCCTTTTAGGTTCCATTTGGTAATGATGATGAAAC